ACTTTCCTATGACTGACATGATATCTAGCTATTGTTACCACACTGGATTATTGCTTGACCCATGGTGGCAGTTTAGATACTGTATATATGAAGGCTGATGCTGCAAATTGGATCCCGTTAATATAAAAATTATTTTGAAGAGGTGCTGAACTATACATTTTTTTTTCTTTTCCCAGACTATTTTCTTGCCATAGTTTTGTCTATCATTTTGCTGCTAATGTCTTTCCCACACACAGCTAGAAAATCAGGACTATTAAAATGACTGTGCTAAGTATACTGTATTGGCATGGAAACTGTATCTTGGCTCTGCAGAATACTTCTCTTATTCACTTATGTTTCTTGTTCCCCACACCTATAATTACAGTCTTCTGATCATGACATCACAGTTAATTACCATAGGAATGACTGATGAGGGAAGGAGGGAAAATTCTGATCCTCCAAACAATTATTCCAGTGTGGTTCTTCCTGCCTCCCACTAAGGTCAAGGTAGTCAATATTATTCAGAATACAGCAGGTTTGTAAAACTAGCTTCACTATATTGCAGAACTGGAAACTGATTCAAAGAAATGAAACCACTCCACAAAATATGGTTGTGGAGAATGTTTTGCTTTCAAGCAGTTATTGGATTTACTACTGCGATTAGAAAACCAAGTTTCTAGCTTATTGGGCTACATGAATGTAATCACAATGGCTTATTAAACAGATCACTGTAAAAAAAAAATGTGAGCACAGATGTGCTAATTGGACTTTTGCAATTAATGTATCCCTACAAACACAGCTTATGTATGTGTATAGTTTAAAAGATTTAATTAAGGATGGACAATTGAACAATGGCTAAACCAATATAAAAACATAAAACTTTAAATAAATATAGGATGATTTTCGATATAGAGAGGTTTTTCTTCCTGCTGCAGGACACGGACCATTTCTTTTGAGATAGAAGAATCCCCCCTTTTGAAAGCAGAAAACTCCCATTCAACTCAGTTTTAACCTGCCAATAATAAAGCTGGATTGCAAAACCATTTACATATTCTGTGAAAAGAACACAGATTTACACAGAGATAGTAGCTGCAGCCCAGATATGCTGTAAAAGAAAGATAATTAAGAGAAGGAGAGAAAGAAAAATATCTATGCAATTAACTGCTGCCTACCCACCCCAGGTCCTCAGTACAGGCCCTGGCACCTCTCCCCATCCCTGGAGTTTGGTCCATGTTTTGATTCACAGACTGCATCATGTTTGTACCAGATGGCCCAGAGTTAATGAACACAAACTCATCTCTTTTGTTCACCAGGGAAATGTGCAATACTGTACAAACTGATTCATACATGATGGCTAAAAATATCGGAATATTTTAGGAAGCATTTTAACTGCTAAAAGGTGCTGCTTGAGAGGAAAGTGTTAAAAAGGACATGGTGTGCTTATGCAACATGTTCACATTGTGGCTACGCTGGAGAGCTGGCTTTTGATTAGTTTTTGTTTAACAGCAGCCTCAGATGAAGTGCTCAAATCTGAAAAACCTGCCTGAACATGTGCCATACCATAATAGGGATCATATAGACCACTGGCTGTGTTGGCTGAGGATGATGGAACTCATACTCCAGCACGTCTGACAGCAGCAGGTTGAGAAGGCTGCCATAGAAGGAAAATTCTCACTGATAGTTCATGATCTTAAACGTACTGATATTTATCTAATTCAACTTCAAGATAGGAAAGCCTTATTCTTTAAAATTTATTCCATAAAAGAATCAAACTATGTTGGCAGATCCATAGGAGGTCCATTTCAAGCAGTTATGATGAATTTTATAATAATCCCCATAATGAAGAGTGGGGGGAAAGATAGACACCATGTCCTGTTAATTTCCTCCACTTTTAGTTTAATACTAGAGCTATTTTTTTTTTACAAATATATCTTTGAGATATGAGGCATATCCCCAAAGTCCCCAGTCAAGATGGACTATGAATGTTGCTGTATGAAACAGCCTGAGAAATTTCTCTTGCAATTTGAACTCATTTACCTTATTTTAAGGTAAAAAAGTGCCATACAGAGAAATGGTTACTAGTTTCTGGCAGCTCATGATGTCCAGGTTATAAACTTTTGCTGTGCAGCTATTTTACTGGCATAAGGCAAGAGTCCTCTCACTAGAAATGAAACAATAAAAGAAGAGTTTATATCAAGCAAGTCATTTTGAATTTTTTTTTTTAAAGTCAGGGTGTCAGTGTTCCAGAAAAAAACCCAACTCCAAGTAAAAACTCTGAAGCAAGCATTTTTCAAAGTTCTATTTACTAGAATAGGTAAACTGGCACATCTGGGAAAACCCAAATCTGAGAGGTTTGGGTTTTCCCTCAGTAAATCAAAACCCCCCAAACCATCCCCTTACTCAGTCGATCACATGCTCCAATCACCATCCGTCCCATCTCGAGACAGCACTCCGACCACTCCTTCTCCAAATGCAGGATCGACCTGACCTTGACCGACAGTATGAATGCTATTATGTCTAAAGACAACCCCTCTACTAAATCCCCCCTCTTACTTCCCCACACATGAAAAGGTGGCAGCATGGAAGCTTCCGGATTAATATGGCTTCCAAAGCTGACACAGAGTATGTCAAGCCACACACACAAGCAATATACAAGGCTTCATCAATCCTTCCAAGTGCCCTGATGAAAAATAGCAATGTTCTTTCTTGCGACTTCAAGGATGAAAATACACAAAACAGTTGATCAGGTTAAAAAAAAAAAGCCCACAAAGCTTCAAAGCCCTGACTATCCAAACTCCAGCCATTATGCATCATGGCTTCCTAACTGTCATTTTCCTAAAACACTCATTATGGACCAGTTGAAGCTTCTGGTTAGTCTTCAAGGTCAATACCTTCTAGAGCTCTTTGGAGTAGTCCAATTGGAAAATAACTAAAGTGTGAGTGATCGTAAGTGGGGCCTCCCAGCCCAGGAATGAGTGCAACCAGCACAGAAGATGGATCTATGTAAAAGCACCTCCTAGCCATGGATGCCATTGGCTGCTTAAGCAAGAGCCATGAGTCCAGGAGGGCTTGGCTTTCTGGAGTTTTAAGACCTGACTGTTCCCCTGGGTTTGGCCAGGATGGGGGCTGAGCAAGAGCATCGTACATGGTTAGAAGTGCTATGATGCTTGGTTGTATGCAATGGTTTTAATTTTCCTGAGTTTTGTGATTTCGGTATGTTGTGATGAGTTTCCCAGAATTATGTTGCATAGATGAACAGCCATATAAATCTTCTAAATGGATAAATCAATGAAAAGGAGCATAAGGTACTACTTTACACAAAGTTTGGAGCAGTAAAATGTCATTAAGCAGTTTTCTTAACTCCTACAATACAGACACTGCAGAAGAAATAATGTAGCAAGACTAGAGATTAAGACTGTGAAATAAGAATCCTCTCATTCAAATCTTCCTATAGGCATTAACTCTAGTGGAAGGTCTGAGAACATGCTGCATTCTCTCACTAGCTTACATTAAAGAACAATCAAAGTAACATCCCTAGAGCATGAGAGAATAAAGCATGATGATGCATATTACATATTATCCCTAGTAGTTAGATTTCTTTAAATCATTTGTTTTATAGCTTCATGGAATTGAGCAGAAAGGCTAGTGATATATGGTAAATGAGTTACCATATATCATGATCCAGGTTCCATCTGCTAAGGAGTGTCAGGTATTAGTAGGGTTCAGAAAGAGAGCCTTCTCTGAAATGGCACTATCCCCTAGACTATCACCCCTCTGGGGTGATTGGCCCTGCTCCATTGATCTTGAAGACTTGAATCTGTGCTCAAGCTTACTGTAGGTCCTGGCTGTGTTAATGGAGCCATTTTCTTGGCTGTGTCAAGTGACTGTGTCAAATGCAATTTTTGTAATTTTTCTGGTCTTTTATGTCTTGGAGGAAAGGTTGTATAATTTTTAATATTATTAGCTGTCCAGAGTCATGTATTTGAGATGGATGGCCATACAAATCTAATAATAAATTAATACAGAAATACAGAAAAATATTAATATCCTACAGTATGTTTCTTCCAGGAGGTCATAGCATCCCATGCTGCATGAATGTGAATCTTATAAGAGTGAATGGCCTAAAATTATAGAAAGGCAGACTTAAAATAGGGTCTCACTAATCCTATTTCAAAACCCTATTACACTACTCTAAATTCACGTATTTCTTTTATAGATCACTAAAGCTTTGCACTTGTCATACGACTCCTGATGGCTTACAGGGTTAAAAACAATTTTAAACAATATTACTTTCAAAAAGAAGAAAATCAGCCCACCCCCACCCATATACCCAATACCTAGGAGTGTACTGCACAAACATTAAAACAGCCAAACACAATATTCAATTTGATTCTTGGCAATGTGGTACTGAAGAAGGTTTGCTAATATTCAGAAAGAAGAGATTAGTTGGAACTGGGCAGCTGGGCTTCACAGCTGCCAGAATCACACCAATAAGCAGCCTGTGCCAAACCAATATACAGTATATAGGAAAAGCACATTCTTCCTTTCCCTCCATCAGGAGGAAGTCATGCCAGGCAAGCACTACTCTTTTTCATATCTATAGACAATGCTGAAAACAACACACAACATGGAATTTAGTTTATCTTCTTGAGGAATATTCCCCAAAGCAAAAGTTTTTTTAGAAAAAAGCAAAACATTTCCATTATTTCTGTTTTGAAATAATTTTGCAAGCAAGACAAGACAAGCAAGCAAGCTCCAAAGACATGGTAAAATTACCGTATCACTAACTAGAAAATGTTATCCAGATATCTGTGTCGGTATCTATTTCTCTTTTTCCCTATTTCCATATAAAGTCACACATATCTTCCATATCTCATTGTGCAGATTAAACAATTTTAAACTACAACATTGGAATTACAGATGAAGCTGTTCGAGTTAGATTTGCCAGAGTTGGCCGCTGGAGGATATAAACAGAAAATTAACCCATATGTGAAATGGACTGGAGAGGACTAGCATTCTCCGTGTGATGGAGAATGTATGTATTAACACTTTGTTTCCCAAACATCTCTTTTTATCAGCTTGCTCATGGGAGGAGAGGAGAAATTTATCTAATAGACCATCCTTATACTGTATGCGCTTTTTAAATACATTTTCATTTTCCCTTCATTCTAGTTAGTTGAATTTACTGGCTCCATATTCTGCTCTTCTCTCAGGAGATGATTCCTAATCAGGTGGTTTTTTTGGATTGACAGCTTCTGCTAAAACAGCTGGGGGAAACTCCAGCTATGAGTGCTCCAGTGCCTGTTACATTATTCCTGTAGTGGAAAACACTGTCAAGTTTCACTCATACTTTTATCATTTTTCAAATGGACTTCCCTACGACTAACCCTGAAATCATTCTAAAGCTGGGGCAGAATGCAACTGCCTATATAATAATGGAAACATCTCAATATTGCCATATAACACTTGTACCCCACAGCACAGCATACATTGGCTACTGGTTAATTTCTGGATAAACTGAAGGGACTAATAACAACAACATGGCTTGGGACAATGGGATATGAATCTATTTATTTGAAGAAGAATCTGCCCATCCCTGATAGAAAGTCTCTCCCCTCTCTGAGGTCCAGTGAGAAGGAACTTGAACCTGAGCATTCTCTGCCAGAACTCCCATTATGCTGAATTCCCTTCCCATGAAATAAGATCTTCCTTGTTGTTAATATTTAGAAAATTTAGATTTAAAGGGTTTGTGAAAGATCAGCATTTAGGGATTAATATGGTGGAATTATGATCCTAGGAGGAATATGGGCTTTCCTAATGATGATTTTGGTAAGCAACTGAGATTTGTTTCTTGACCAAAGCAATAGAAAAGCATACACACTGAATAAACGAATACAATATTGATATTACATTATTTATTTATTATTTATTAATTAATTTAATTTGTATACCGCCCTTCTCCCAGAAGGGACTCAGGGCGGTGAACAGCCAATTATTATATTGATATTGTTTATATTGGGTCTTGCCTGATTCAAATTTATCCAGCTGGTAAATTCATCTATATTGGACATATAGAATTAGAAATACACTACCAGTTGAAAAATGAGTCCTAAAGAAATGTTTACAGAACCTTGAGTGGAGGAATGGACATATAGATCACATCACTGCAAATTGGATATTAAATCATGTTCAAAATCTTACTGCTAGAATCTAAAGCCCAAAACCACTTGGGACCAAATTATCTTCCCTGTTATAAAACTGAGTGATGGCTATAAAATTGATTTTTGGAGGCAGCTTTCCTGATTATGAATATAACATTGAATTATGAATGTAATTTAATATAACTTATTATGAATACTTGATAACTTACAATTACATGTTCATTTATCATTTATCATATATCAATTACATCTTTGGAATCTTCTCTCTCACATACACCTGGTATTTAAGAAATTTCAACTTTGTACTGCCTTAAACACCTGCTAAAAATATATCTCTTTCCCGAGGGTTTCTTTATATGCATGCTAAACATGTAGTTTGTTTCTTAAATAATTTATAAATGATGATTACTTATTTCTTCCTCTATTTTCATTATTTCATATTTATGTATAGCATTTTAATTGAAGTTTTCTAATATCACTATGTTTATTTTAATTTCTTATACGCTGTGTTTGAGAAAATAGGAAGCCATTATAAATTCCTTAAAGAAATAAATAAGTATTTAAAAGAAAATATAGGAAATATAGGAAATATAGTGCTCAATGCATGTCATATCTTGCTATGCTTCTTTAACCACAATCATGAAAACAAAGTTATGTATTAACTGTTTAGCAAATCAAAGGTGATACGTTTCATAAAAGCACGACGCCCTTTATTTATTTATACTCATTCTTATGATATATCTACATCTTTAAAATGTGAATTATTACAACTGTCTCACCATGCATTATTAAATAGATGAAATATGACATATATGCTTTGATGGTAGGCTCTAAAATGATTATTTTACTATTTGAAATTTTCTCTGTATTTGTTTTCATATTGAAATTCTTGTGGCGGCCTTCTTTTCCTAAATATAAGTAACTGCAAGAACAAGGATGTATAATACAATGGTGGGCTAATGAGCTGTTTTTCAAATATTTTTTAAATAAGAATTTCATTTGTTTTTTTTGAAAATTTTACTTTTTCAAGCATGATTGTCACAGAGTGACCTTGAGCAAGTTATTTTTTTATCCAAACCAACATTCAACAAGGTGGCAATTACAGACCCTATGCATCTGTTCCACACTAAAATGGCAATGGCAGCTCACCCATTCCCCCATCTAGAGACAGAAAAAGAGACTAAACTTCTTGCTAAGATTGCCATAATTTTGTGCCAATTCAATGTTTTTGAGTAAAATCTTAATTAGAAATATTGACATTCAAATATGAAATCTTGTGGTAAGAATGCTAAATCTCTCAATATTTTGACCTTTCAGAAGCCAATGTTGAGATGAGATTTGGCAGGTATTCCAATTACTGGAAAAGTGAAACTTATTTAGTATCCAAAATCATACAATGGTATCAGGCATGTAAGACTATGTTAACCCTATTCAAAGCTATAGTTCAGGAGTGTGATAAGCATAAAATTGGATAACCTGGTACAGGTAGTCCTTGACTTATGATCATAATTGACCTCAAAATTTTTGTTGCAAAGCGAGACAGCCGTTAAGTGAGTTTTACCCCATTTTAAGACCTTTTTTGCCCCAATTGTTATGTGAATCACAGCAGTTGTTAAGTCAATAACACGACTGTAAAGTGAATCTGGCTTCCCATTGACTTTGCTTGTCAGAAGGTTGCAAAAGGTGATCACATGACCCCGGGACACTGCAACGGTCATAAATATGAGTCAGTTGCCAAGCTGCCAGTTTTGATCATATGACCATGAAGATGTTGCAAAACATCTTCATGGGAGATGAAGGAGCCTGGTTTAGCTCAACAGACAGAAGCACTGTAATTTAACCCCAGCTGTCTGCAATTAAAGTAAGATCGAATCTCGCCAGGCTCAAGGTTGACTCAGCCTTCCATCCTTTCTAAGGTAGGTAAATTGAGGACCCAGTTTGTGGGGGCAATAAGCTGACTTTGTATAAATATACAAAAGTATGAAGGCTATTGCTTAACGCACTGTAAGCCGCCCTGAGTCTCCGGAGAAGGGCGGCATATAAATCAAATTTTAAAAAAAAGTTGTAAGGGTGAAAAAGGGTCATAAGTCACTTAAAATGGTCTCTAAAACAAACTGTTGTAAGTTGAGGACTATCTCCACAGGCTTTCCAACAAAACCGTGAAGAGCTATACTTTCCCATTACATGCTGCAATGTGAACATATTAAGAAATATGATTCTTTGTTTACCACAGAATTATTTGTTTCATCTGCAATTCCTTTCATCAGAGCTTCAGCTCTTCTATTATCTGACCTTTTAAGCTAAAGATGCCATATATTAAACTGGTAGTCTTTGTGACAGAGCTATATTCTTTCACCATTAAAACAGAATCAGCTTTATCTTAAAGGGACTTTGACAGAGTGATAATATTGGTAAGTGGAAAATACATTGGCAGAATGTGCTACAGCACACACTTATTCATCAAGATATAAAAGATGCTGTCCCTGAATTATTTTCAGATGAAATATTCTATAGTGTTCTACAGAAGATCTATTGCAGTACAAATTGACATGTAGTATCTGTCTGCATTCAGCAGGAAAAAAAGTATTGGTTTCAAAAAAGCGTACAGTATAATTGTTTGACGCTGGGACACAGCAAAGGTCATAAATATGAACCAGTTGCCAAGCATCTGAATTTTGATCACATAATCATGGGGATGCTGCAAAGGTTGTAACTATGAAAAACAGTCATAAGTCACATTTTTCAGTGCTATTATAACTTTGAACGGTCACTAAATGAACTGTTGTAATTTGAGGACTACCTGTATATCTGTGCTCTACTAGGGCCACGGGGTACAAAGCAGTGGTAAAATCCAATTTTTTTTTTACTACTGGTTCTGTGGGTGTAGCTTGCTGGGTGTGGTGTGACTTGGTGGGCGTGGCTTGGTGGGCGTGGCAGGGGAAGGATACTGCAAAATCTCCATTCCCACCCCACTCCAGGAGAAGGATATTGCAAAAGCCCCATTCCCTCCCCACTCCTGGGGGATGGATATTGCAAAATCTCCCTTCCCACCCCACTCAGGCCAGCCAGAGGTGGTATTTGCCGGTTCTCCGAACTACTCAAAATTTCCGCTACCGGTTCTTGGAACTGCTCAAAATTTCTGCTACTGGTTCTCCAGAACCTGTCAGAACTTGCTGGATTTCACCCCTGGTGCAAAGGTATTGCCTTTGAGGATGACCAGGTTGCCCTAAATAGTAGAAAATGAACCAGCATTTATGCTTATGGATTTATAATAGCAACCATCGACCACTGGCAACACCTGCCAGTCTTGCTCGTGTAATGTGGTCCTACTGCAAAGACCACTACTGGTTGGTTTATGGATCACTATTACTTACATCAAAATAGAAGCCTACTCTTTCCCTCTGCATATTTTCTAATTTAAATGTCCCTTTCTTTTTCATTTGAAGGAAATTACATGTATGGCTTGATGCTGTAGTTGAATTGTTAGACTGGGCAACTATGATTCATTACACAGATGTAATCTATGCCCTTCCACAAGTCCTATTCAATGTAGTTTATACAAAGAATCTATGCTGAGCAGAGTGTATTTTTAAAAGCTAGCAATGCAAAAAAGCCACTAGTAGATCTTATAAAGAATCAGAAGATGAAATTAAACATCAAATTAACATCCTCCTCCACTTCCTCCTCCTCCTCCAAGGTCTATAGATATTCCCCAAAGCAAATATATAGCTGTGATGGCAGAAATTTCCCTCCCTGAAATACAGGAGGGATAGATTAAGAATGAAATGCTAGTTCCATTCCATCTTTCTTCTTCTTGGAAGAATTCTAAGTACTTTTATTATAAATACCTTTATTTTGTTTTAAGCTACATGAGACCACCTGGAAATTAAATGCATCTGTTTTATTTTCATTTCTATTTTAGTGGAAAATTATATAGGTTTGCAGCACTGATAAATCAAGCATAAATTCAGCTGCTTGCTTTGAAAGGGGGCAAGAAAGATACAGTTTATGACATACATGCCTTAGGTTGTCCAGCTTGGCCATCCCATAGCAAATTCTAAGCCATGTGTGGAGGAATTTAACTTTGAATGAAGCTAGAGAAGGGAAACAGTTGCCTGACCCTAGAATGTAGAAAGCTCGAGAAAGATTCAGAACAACTCTGCCTTGACTTAGTTGTTCTTAAAAGAGTCAGAGAAAGTTTTAGACAGGCTTTCAAGACTGTGTTAATAAACCCTACGACAATAAAGTAGTGACCCACCTGAAATCCCTGCTTCTCTGTCTTTTGACCTTCCCTACCTTGAAGAGTTGACACCATGGCTTTGTAGTGGACAGGGTTACCAACCAGCAGTGCAGCAAGAACTCAGGAGAAAATCCATCAAAGAGCCTTGATTTTGAGGAATCTTAAGTTCAAATAGCCTTTGAAAGCTACATTTGGGTCCCAACCTCATGACACTGCAAATTTATCTGCCTGTAGCAGAAGGAAACAATTTTAAGAAGGTTTTTCACATATTTCCCTTCTGCAAGGCCATTTTGCCTAAATTCTCCAGGGTATCTCTGTACTTCTCTATCCCATCTTCATTCTGCTCACAAATAGGATCTCCCCTCTGTTCATTTTCTTTCCCCCAACTCCCCATTCTTGGGATTTATTCTCTCCACTCAATTTCCTGTCTACCTAATATAGCTCTCTAGTTTAAAGTCTTATTAGTATTGCATTAGAAGCACAAAGACTAGCACTGTCATAACAAAGAGACAGAGAGCTTGTAGGCCCACTTTGCAAAGGGATTAAGAGAGAAGCAAGGTACCTTGTTGCATACTAATGATGCTTAAATAATGCTATTCTAGCACCCTTGTGGCTATGTTAACAGTATGTATGCTGCACAATAAGCAAGGAATGCAATTTGCATACATATAACACGTTAAGATAATGGGCAAATGTACAATTCAGCCAAACAAGTTTGCCATAAACAATACTATGTCAGAGACAAAATGCTCTTTGTTTCATTTTGTTCACTTCCTTCTTTCCACTTGCTATATTTTTACTTATGGATTAAATGAGATTTTTCACAAATTTCTCTGATTCCAGCTAAAGAAATAACGTTACCAATATGTTTCACATCAATAGTTTGAGAGGGATTTTTTTTTTCTTGAAAAGATGTACTGCTTTGTGGATTAATTATGATGTGTCAGGGTTAAAATTTGCCATTTTTTAAAAGTAATACTACGTGAAAAGAATAAAAAATTCCCTGCATATCTTTTGCGTGTATGGAAGCTCTCAGAACAAGAATGATAAAAGGCCATCTGGATCATTTACAATTAAGGGAATCCCACAGATGTGGAAGAAATTGCTGCACTGTTTCTTGATTCACTGATACATTCATTCAAAGATTTAATGCCCCTCCTTTCAGAACAATGTTTTTCAAGGTCAAGTACAACAAAAAATAATGCAACATTTTTTAAAAAGAAAAAGAAATCAACAATTAAAATCAGACACCCCTACATAAGTATTAGTGTTCAATAATGTATTAACTGAACTATATATGGTAGCTAAGTAAACAGGAAAATCTGAAAATATGTACTAGTCAATAAATGTGACCATTTTTAAATGTTAAACAAAACAAAACACTGAGGACAAAGACAATATGAGCATTTAAAAAATTACAAAGTTTGAAGGAGCCATTTAAATTATGAAGTCCATTGCTAAGATTCCAATGAAGGCATCTATGACAGATGATCGTCTACCTTTTCATATCAAGGGAAGGGGAGCCCACCATTGATAAATTACTATTATGAAGGGTTTTTTTAAAAAAACCATTCATCAGAATCTCGTTTCCTGTAATTTACATTCATTATTCTATATCCTGTACTATGAAACAATAGATAACAGGTCTTGAAGACCTTCTGCTGTGCAACTATTTGAGAGCTATTACATGCTTATTTATCAGCTTCTAGTCCTCAACTAAATATTTTCACTTGGTTTGTATTTTCACTTGGTTTGTAGATCAAAGATGACTTATATCAACTGTGCCTCCTCCCACCCTCTGAAGGAGAAAATTGTTAACAATACAGGTAAGGAAGGATCATGTTTGTCGGTTTTTCTCCAGACAGGTGTCAAGGTAATTAAAGACTCCCATCACTACTGCTACATGACTTTTGGAAAGACAGGTATAACAGGAACAGGAAAGACAGGTATATCAATATCTTTTAATCTTAGTTATTGCAAATTAACAGACAGGTAAGCAAATAGCTGCAATATTGATGAATAAATTGTAGCTATAGTCAAAAGAAGGGGCCGGTAATACTATGCTGCCATGATTGAACAAGGAAAAACAAAGAACCTTAATTTCAGCAGGATGCTTTTGGCTATGTTCATTGAGGTGGGGGGACGACTGTCACCTCAGATGCATCTCTTGGCATACTTGAGTCAAAGTAGCAATAATCTTGGAATTGCTGCTTAAAAATTTCTTATTAGCCTGAAAATAAAGCTTTTCCCTCTCTCTCATTTGACTTTGAGTTAATTTCATCTAGTGCCAGACATGAATAAAATACTGCTACTAAAGTTTCAGTTTCCCCATGTTGATCCCCTATTGTCCCATTTCATTAAAAAACAGGTAGTGAAGACTTTTATTTGCCTTCCTCTAATAATGTCCAGGAATGGCAAACGACCTTGTCCTGTTGGAGGACAATGGCTCCTAGCTCCTGATAAAAATGCTTTTGCATGCCCTCAGCATGACCAGTAACAATCTGCAATGTGTTTTAGAAAATATTATCTCCGTGTCCTCTTTGGCTGATGAACAACTATAGGTACCAATAAAAGTATACCTTTTTTTCATTACTCACTTATTTTAATCCAGATGCTCTGTACATGTCAGCTCTTCGAGGTAGATCTGACTAAAAGAACCAAATCATGTAAATCAATATTGTTTGTGTGTTTAAATTTATTGGCTGCCCAATTCCAGTGGACTTCAGGTGGCATACAAAACTAAAAACCTCATAATAACAGCAAGAAAAATTAAATCAACAGGCAGCCAAAACTAAAATATTCTACTAACAAAACCCACAAAACAAAACAGGGGTCATTAAACAATGACAAACATCAGTCCTGAGTGTGGGTTGTTTTTTTTTTTTATAAACATATAGTAATTTAATCTTGAAAGTCTGAATATATGTCTTCCTCCTTCCTTTTATCATCATGTGGACTAGGAGAGGGCTAAGATATACCTTATAATTTTACATCAGATTCAGATTTTTTAAATCTAACCTGTGGCTCTTCCTCCTATTCCTCAAGACTTCTATAGTACAGTATTACTTGCATGGACTTCTGAGCAAATGTAGATACTGCTAGTTGTAAATTGCAACTTTTTAATTTCTATTGTTTCCACTCTTTTTCAATCAATTGAACCTCAGGAATGGATTAACATAAGATGTGGTGAGGGGCATTAATTTGGAAAAGGGAAGTAGGTACGAAGTGTGGATCTATGAAGAGCCATAAGCCTTAAAATTCAGTGTTACCATGGAGTTGGTGTGGGGTGGGGGTGGGAGCAGCAAGAGGAAATGGATATATCGGTACTGTATTTCCAGACTCTGTTTGCAAGCATCCCATTGGCAGACCACTATGAGAAACAAAATGCTGAACTAAGATGCACTTGCCCTGATGCAGTTGGGCTGTTCTTCTATATGCTTCATTTGTTATATTCCTATTAAGGGAATATAATTAGATAATTAAATCGTATTTCCCTATCTTTAATAAATGTTCAAGCTCATTTTGTGTACCTTCCAATGTTTGAACATTAGTGTTTAGACTACAAATACTTATGAACCTATGCCCCAATGTTCTTGTTTTTTAATTTAGAAGTTTTTAATTTAATAATTTCATAAACACGATTAAAGCAATGTGTACAGCTCCTTCTACCTCAGGTCCTTAGTTCAGGTTTTATCTTCAGCACCCATAGATAGAACTGAACTTCTAATCAAACCTGTCATGCTTTGCCTGAAGATATATTTTTTAATCCTTGTGAGGTGAAACCGACCAGGCCTGCAATGTTATCATCAGACTACAGTTCCAGACTATGCATGCAGCCAGCCATTCATTTGCAGTTTTATTTTCCCCTTTCCAGTATTTTTCCATGGAATAGAAGGACTAATGACAAACCACATGAACTTTTCCCTAGATATTCAGTGACCATATTCAGATCCACTCCTAGCTGTCCTTGACCAGTGCTGCAAAAGAATAGCAGTGCTAGCAGCAAATTGTGGTAGCACCAAAAAGTCGGTCGTGGAATAGATAAATCCATTATCCATTCCTTTTTCATTAATAAAAATAGTAATAATTATAGCCATGTGAAATGCCTTCTTGACAGAAATAATGGAAACCTGTAATGCACTAAGTGGTCATAGAATCAGCCATTCATAGCTGTAAAGATCTGTCTTTCTTCCCTGGTTTAAATAGACCTTCTGGGAAGCAGAAGTGTAGTTTACAATACAGGTCTAGTGCTCTTCCAAAAGACTACTAAACCTGTGTATACCAGGACCTTACAAAACTCTACTAAGGCATTTCACAGGTAAATATTTCTGAAATCCAAGCCAACCAGGAGAAGGGGATTACTTCTCTTGGTTGGCTTGGATACTAAATATGGCTACAAGGCAGATCTCAGCCTGACTCTCTAATTCAATGAAGCATGCTACATCATGTTTACAACAAAAAATATATCAGGAGAAAACAAAGTACTACATTAGACCAAGAGGAGCTAAAAATAATAGAATCAGTGTTGAAAGAGATCTTGGACATCATCTAATCCAACCCATTGCTCAGTGAAGGATTGTCTGCTTGTGCAACATCTCTGATGGATTCTTATTATTGTAATATTTGTGATAAATCAACATATCAAAATACCAGAAATGTCAACTTCTGAGGAAGAAATGGCAAATTTTTGCAAAAAGCAGTACAGATGACAGACAGAATGATTAGCTGGCGAGTAGATCAGTTGTTCCTAATTCCCCTCTCAACAAGGAGTGGACTGGAGATCACACACAAGTGTTCCAAACAGTTGCCCCTTGTGAGACACAAGATACTGGTTTCTGGCAGGTTTAAAGCTGGGGGGGGAGGGGGGAGTGGCCATTTTGCTCAAATCACATTGCCTAATATTGGATTTGCATATTTTCTTTTCTAATCACTTTCAAAAATTGCTTATTAACTGCTTTTCAGCTATTAGGAACCTATGGGTCAAGAGGTTTTACAGCACAGGTGAGTTTCCTTCAATATGTAGCAAAGGAAATTTTAAATACACATTTAAGAACTTCTTTAAAATGTTGGGGAATAAACAGCAATTACAACTTTGATTAAAAGTTGTTTATATTTGCTATGATGAAGGGGGAAGAACGTTTATATATATATTCTATTTTTTTATTTTTATTCTTTTATTTTTATAGCGTGCATTAATGTTTATTGTAAATATCAGTCTTTAATAAAATTGATTAAAGAAACAGAAATCTCACAAAGTCAGAAATTAATTGCTTTCTAAAACTACTGAATTGCATTTTTAAAGCCATCTCCTTCAAAAATAATAGAATGAGTGAAAGACAAACTCAGGTATACTTGTTTTCAACTGGCTATTTTTTATAACGGCAAGTGGGGGGAGGAACACTCATTGATTTTTCTAGAAGCAGGTTGATGAGATTTAGTTGGAAGCCCATTAATTGGGCAGTACCAGTTTATTCATAGCTGTTGTTCCACAGCAGGACCAGGCTGAAAAAAAAAAAAAGAGCCTTTTTATTTCCTTTAAATCCTAGCAACCACGCCTTTTCTGCTTACTGTTCTTTTAAAATTTCTGTAATTCTTTCTTAGAAATTTGCATCTCATCCATTTCTTTCTTTCATCATGTGTACATCCTGGGGAGGAAGCTATAATAAGCATACATGCTGGCAATGTTGTTTGGTTGTGGGGTGGGGTGCAGTCGGGTGGAGAGGGGAGGGGTAAGGAGGATGGGGAAGGGAAAGAGGAATGGAAATGGAAGCTGCTTATCTAATTTGAAGGAAAGATACCTCCATTTATGCTGTTGGGTTAACTTAAAACAGGTAGTGAAATGCTTTAATGGATAACACCAAGAAGCATTTCCCAGATGCCAAGTGTAGAGTTTAAAATGCATGAGGCGTAGCTGTTTAAAAGCAGAGGAAGGAAGACTGAAGACAGTGCAAAACAGTTGTTTTTTATTTTCATCATACCAGTGGTCACCTTTGATCAAGTTATCTTTGTCGGTCAATTGTAGGCAACCTGGTACCTCCAAATTTGTTGAACTACAGTGGCCACAATCCTGGCATGCTAATCAGGGCTTCTGAAAGTTACAGTCCAATCTAGAGAGTTCCAATTATTTTCCTCCTAGATTTTTCCTCTTTTTTGTAAATTATTAAAACTTCTAAAACTTGCTAAAATTTCCAGATTTGTTGATATGGTTTTCGATCTCTATATCTCACCAAGGAAAGCTTTCTTCTGACAAATGCAGAACCCTTTAAACAAATAAGGAGCAAGCGGTTGACAGATTAGCTGGAATGCATCTATCTTGCATGCATAAGGCAACATATTCATATTAACATATTCAGTTAGCATCGTCAAGCTCAGTTTACATGGACAAGATCTTAAATTTGTCCAGTCACCTCCAACTCCCCTATTTCAATTCTTAGCTATCCTACCTACTTTTAGCAAACATTTCTGTCTCACTCAAGACAAGAAAAAGATGCTGTGCCGAAACATTATTTCAATGAAAGCAATGCTCCTATTCACCAACAGTGGAAAAAAACCAGGAGTTTTTTTTTCTTTTTGTTTTTAAAGCAAGTGCCATTACTTTTGTCACAGTGTGCAAGTGCCATTATTTTTGTCACCTCCCAACTAAAGCCCAACTTAAAATTGTCTCGGTTTCTTAATTATGCTACATAAAGACAAAAAAAAAATCTAGAAACATCATTAAGCGAAGCAGTCACTAAGTGAAACAGCAAGATGTGTGATCTTACTTCAGCTTTTCTTTTCTTTGCAAACCTGCAAATGTTGCAAATGTGAGGACTGGTTGCTTTTCATCACCATCCTAATAGCAAATGATCATTAAATGAGTCAGTCGCTAAATGAAGACTGGCTATATAGACCTATCTAGTATTAACCAGGCTGATAGGTACTATAGACACCTTTACTGAAAAAGTTAGGGATGGCTTGAGCAAAGAAAAATCTGGCTGAGGAGCCAGGTAGCTTTAGAGAGGCAGATCCATAGTTAACTGGTCCTTTGTGCTACAGCATGGGTGTCAAATTTGCAGCATCACGTTGTTGTCATATGTTTCGTGACATTTTTTCCACTTCGTGGAGCTGGGGTGGGCGTGGCTTGCACATGATGCATCTGGCCCGTAAGCCACCAGTTTGACATTCCTGCTCTACAGTATCATTGAAAAACGCTCTTCCAACAAGCCAACCTTCTTATATATGGCACTTATAGATCTTAAATGCCACATACAAATGCTATTCTTTTTTTATTTGAAATCTCAAGTCAGACTTTGACAGAAGTTGGAAGGCTCTTCAACTGACCAACAGACAATCCTTTGATTTTCTCTCTTCATGCATATCTATCAAGGTCAGGCACAATCCCAGAGGCTTTCTTCTGAATGTCATTCTAACGCAGAAGAGACTCAAACAGGATGTATATTCCCTCCTCTTTCACTTTTACATTAATAGCATGGTAAATTATCTACAGAACCTAAATTTCCACTCTTGCAAACTGGCCAACAAATGCATTTCAAACCTGCTTTATGCAGGCTCTGCTGTTATTCTCTCAAGGATAGAGAATAAGCCTCAATAGGCCTTTAAAAGAACATTGACTGCCTTTGGAGATTATCATAAAATAAATCAATTAGATATAAACTATCTAAACTATAAATTTATAGTCTTTGCCAAGTGGCTTAAGCCCTGCTTTTGAAGTATTGAGGGACACAGGGTAAAATATCTCTTGCATTTTAAATTCTTAGGGATGGTTCTTCATAACTTCACCTCCAAAAAGGCCAACACCGATCATGCCAAACAGACTGCACCGAGGAGCTCATCTGCTGTTTTTAATTTCTTGAGATCAAGAGGTAGTACATGCCAGCAACACTTAGAATGTTTGATGCTGAACCTTTAGCCCAGCTTCTCTGTGCTGCACAGGAGAGACTTCTCACTGCTTTGTCTTGCGAGGGATTGGATCTTTCCTAAATTTTTGTTTAGCCCTCCATGTTTTGTGCTCTATCTCTAATGCTATCCCATGCCTTGAGACAAGAATAGTGAATGGCCAGTTCATCTGGTGTCATATACATTAGCTTTTATAAAACTTCCAAAAGTTGCTATAGTTCTGCCAGACATCTCAACCATTTATCAGATGGGGCAGTCAGCCTCTGATTCATGTCCCATTTGTGTTGCCAGCGTCAGAGATGGAAGTATGGTAAATTCTCCTCCTCCTTTCTACATCTGAATTGGCAGAGAAATATCAGTCTTCACTCTTGAACACAGAATGCTAGTGACTAAATTTAGTGCGATGCTTTGTAAAATGGCTTTTTCCTAGAAAGTTTGAATAAAAATAATGTACTTCCAAAAGAAAGGATTCCACCATTTGTCTCCAGGTTTATCACACTAGAAAGGAAGATAGAAATGTCCCATGCAACTTTTGAAAAGTGATATTTGCTAGATATTCCCTTGATGTAGTGGGAATGGCTCAATAGTTTCAATTATCCTTAATAATGCCAGCAGGACCATGAGCTTATAATAGAGTCATCCTTGCTGATAAGGTCAAAGGGGAGGGATGAAAGTAAAGATAATCAGATAAAACAGTAAGTAAGATTTTGCAAGCATCTGAAAAGCTAACCTATCTATAAGAAGGAACTACAAAATCAAACACAGAGGAAAATAATGACAAACACTATGACATAATGTTGCCATCAAAATAGTATGAAAAAGGCTATAATATTTAGACAAATTTGCCAGATAATGACATTTTAAATCAGAAAGCACTCCTTTGGTTACTGGAGAAGCCACTTTAAATAGATAATTAGATTACATACTATTTAGGGCATGAGACCAGATGAAGGAATGGAGTGTCAATGAAATGTTAAAAGGATATTGCTAAATATGTAGTTGACTATACTTCAATAAGTGGTGATATATACATTAAAGTTTGTGTATTCAGTGAGAATCACATAATATACTATTATGTATACTTATTAAATGCAATGGAGAGAGAACATTTATTTAGTTATGAAAATTCATATGACCACCCAACTCACTCTCAGTGATTCTGAGTGGCTTACAAAGATAACCCCCCCTAAAAAAACAATACAATACCCCCACCCCCACCACCAGTGACAACAATCAAATGAGCCACTTGATGGGCTCCATATCATTCCAGAGTCCCCAGGCTTGTTGACAGAATCATTAAAGAATGCTATGGCAAATTGACCATAGTGCTAAAAGTAACACCTTACAATAATGTAGTAATGTATAACATCTAAAACAACTTACTAACATATAATTGGAACATAAAATTTGGAAAAAATAGAGGAACCTGGAACTATAAAAGGGCTTGGATTGGATAAATTCAACAATGAAGATAGATTAAGCTTTGCAAACAGACGTGTTTATTTTCGGTTGATTATAGCATAAATGTATATTCTACATTCAGACATCAGCAGATGATAACATCAGAATCAAACTATCTATTGGAAACAGAAGGAAGTGAAATCTAATCAGCAATTTTCAGATGCTGATGATAAAGCAGAACATGACTTATTAGTGTCATATGTAGAGGTTAAATTTAGAAAATTAAGGAGATCAGGTGAGCCTGTAAAATTTGGCTTAGAAGACATTATTAAAATATAAGTGTTAACATATGGAACAGTTTAGTATACTTATGCAAGAAATTTGAGAAATTATGGAAAGAGGAAACGGCCAGTATAAAAATGAACTGGAAAAAATATTCCAAAATTTCAAAGAGGAAAAAAAATCAAAATGTTTTTCAAAATATACTATCATAACAACTAGAGAAAGACAGATGAGGAAAGCCTTGAGCAACAACAAGAAGGATATATAAGAACTATACAGACTTTGAGCATGAAACAAGAATGATAATTCATTCAGCTGATTACCACAGTGATATCAAACTAAACAAAGAGAAACTTTTACCAGCTAAAAGATATGGTCTCAGAGGGTTCAATTCTAGGTTTTGTTCTCTTATCCTGATGTTG